GAGTGTCCCCATAGGCTCAGGCACTGACCCCCACCCCCCCCCATTTTGGGGTCCCGTGCCCCGCAGGCGCAGTCGGTGATGCTGGAGCTGCTGTCGGAGCTGCAGGAGCGGCACGCGGAGCTGGGGCAGCGCCTGGGCGCGCTGGAGGCGCAGCTGGAGGCGCTGCGGGCGCTGCTGCAGGCGCTGCCCGCGCTGCTGGCCCGCGCGCTGGGCACGGCCACGGCGACAGCGACAGCGACAGCGACAGCCCCGGCGACACCGACCGGCCCCGCGACACCGACCGGCCCCCGGACACCGCGGGACGGCGGCGACACCGCGCCCTGCAGCCCCCGCCGCGACGGCAGCGACAGCGGCTGAGGGACAGCGGCTGAGGGACACCCGGGCCACCCGTGTCACCTGTGTCACCTGTGTCACCTGTGTCACCTGTGTCACCTCGAAGTGATGGGAACAGCGACTGAGGGACAGCGGCTGAGGGACAGTGGCTGAGGGACACCCGGGCCACCTGTGTCACCTGTGTCACCTGTGTCACCTGTGTCACCTCGAAGTGATGGGGACAGCGACTGAGGGACAGCGCCTGAGGGACACCCGTGCCACCTGTGTCACCTTGGAGTGGTGGGGACAGCGGTGGGACAGCGTGTGTCACCTGTGTCACCTGTGTCACCTCGAAGTGATGGGAACAGCAGTGGGACACCTGTGTCACCTGTGTCACCTCGGAGTGATGGGGACAGCGGTGGGACAGCACCGTGTCACCTGTGTCACCTGTGTCACCTGTGTGTCACCTGTGTGACCGAGTGTTACCTGTGTCACCCATGTCACCTCGGAGTGGTGGGGACAGCGTCTGAGGGACAGCAGCGGGACACCTGTGCCACCTGTGTCACCTGTGTCACCGTGGCTCACCTCGGAGTGATGAGGACAGCACCATGTCACCGTGTGTCACCCGTGTCACCTCGGACAGCGGCTGAGGGACAGCGTGTGTCACCTGTGTCACCTGTGTCACCTCGGAGTGATGGGGACAGCAGCTGAGGGACAGCAGCGGGACACCCGTGTCACCTGTGTCACCCGTGTCACCATGTGTCACCTTGGAGTGATGGGGACAGCGTCTGAGGGACAGTGTGTGTCACCGTGTGTCACCTCGGAGCGTTGGGGACAGACAGCGTGTGTCACCTGTGTCACCTTCACCGTGTGTCACCATGTGTCACCCGTGTCACCGTGTGTCACCTCGGGGTGCTGGGGACACCGCCCTGTCCCTTGCTGTCACCTGGGACAGCAGGTGACCCCGTGGGGGGGTTGGGGACAACCCCAGACCCCTTTGTGTCCCCCCGCAGTTTTGGGGTGCGGGGGGGGGGGTCTCTCATCCCCTCACTCCTTCCAAAGTTTTTGGGGTTCGGGGGGGTCTGAGACCCCTTTGTACCCCCGAAATTTTGGGGTGCGGGGGGGTCACAGACCCCTTTGTACCCCCCTGATTTTGGGGTGCACAGGGGGTCCCCATCCCTCTGTCCCCCCGAAGTTTTGGGGTGCGGGGGGGGTCCCAGCCCCCTGCGGTTTTGGGGTTCAGGGGTGTCACAGACCCCTCTGTCCCCCCGGTTTCGGGGTGCGGGGAGGAGGGGTCCCAGCCCCCTGCAGTTTCGGGGTGCGGGGGGGTCCCCGTGTTTATCTCTGGCCATCGTGTGGCCGTTCCCGTAGCTTTGTTCTGGAAAGCTCTCTATAAACTCCTGCGTTCACTGTGCTGGACCCCCCAAAAAACCCCCCCGGCACCCCCCAAAAATCTCTCCGGGACCCCCCCAAGAGGTGGGAGCCGAGCTGAGCGGGATTTTGGGGCGGTTTTGGGGGGATTATTTTGGGTTTTGGGATGTTTTTGGTGTTTTGGAGAGATTTTGGGGGGTTTTAGGGGGATTTGGGGGAATTTAGGGCGGTTTGGGGGAATTTTTTGCGGTTTTGGGGGATTCTTTTGGGTTTTAGCGGGATTTTTGGAGATTTTTGGGGGGACTTTGGGAATTTTTGGGGTTTTTTGGGGGGATTTTTGGGATTTTTGTGTCCCCCCCCCTCCAGCAGCTCCCCCCGCCCTGTGAACTTTGTGGCGGTGCCCAAACCCCGCGCGGGTTTTTGGGGCAGATTTTGGGGGACCCCAGACCCTTTTTGGGGCGCCAGGAGGGTTGGGGACACTCCGCGGGGGCGGGAGGGGGATGGTGGCCCCGCGGTGGCCCCGTGCGACAATGGGGGTGGCGCGAGGCTGTCAATGATTAACGCGCGGTGCCTGGCGGCGGTGGCACTGCTGGTGGCACTGGTGGCACTGCTGGTGGCACCGGTGGCACTGCTGGTGGCACCGGTGGCGCTGCTGGTGGCACTGGTGGCGCTGCTGGTGGCACTGGTGGCGCTGGGAAGCCGCCAGGGGACATCGCGCCGTGCCCTGGGGGTCGCTTGTGTCCCCTCCCCATGCGACGGGCAGGTAACGGCGGTGGCGGGGACAGGACACCGGCCATTGTCCCCAAGGGCTGGCACGGGGTGGGGGACAGCAGGGGACACGGGGACAGGAGGGGACGCGGGGTCCCTGAGCGCCACCAGTGGGCGTTTCCCGCTCCTCCCAGCCCAAACTGGAGGCGACAGGGACGCGGTGGTGGCACTGGAGGTGACACCCCGAGGGTGGCCCCGCGGTGCCACCGAGGAGGGACGGCCGCGGGTGGCCCGTGGGGGAAACTGAGGCACGGTGGCACCGCGGCCGCTGTGTCCCCTGCAGGGGTGGCCTCGAAGCGCCGGGAGCGCCCCGGGGGTGCCGCGGTCGCCAGGAGCGGTGACATCGCCGCGAGGTCCCCTCGGCGCCACCTCAGCGCCGCCCCTCGTGCCAGGCGTGTCACCTTCCAGGACGAGCTGGGGACAGCGCGGGGCAGGCCGGGGGACAGCGCCGCGCCCCCAAAGGGGTCCCCAAAAGGGTCCCCAAAAGTGTCACCGCGGCCGGACCATCCATCCCAGTCCCGGCGGGATTCCCGACATTCCCGGTCCTGGCGGGATCCATCCCAACAGGATCCATCCCAACAGGATCCATCCCAACAGGATCCGTCCCAGTGGGTTCATTCCCGACATTCCCAATCCCGGAGGGAGCCATCCCAACAGGATCCATCCCAACAGGATCCGTCCCGATCCCGGCGGGATCCCTCCCAGTGGGATCATTCCCGACATTCCCGATCCCGGCTGGATCATTCCCGGCTGGATCATTCCCGGTTGGATCATTCCCAATATTCCCGATCCCAGTTGGATCCGTCCCAACAGGATCCATCCCAACAGGATCCGTCCCAGTGGGGTCATTCCCGACATTCCCAATCCCAGCAGGATCCATCCCAACAGGATCCATCCCAACAGGATCCATCCCAACAGGATCCGTCCCAACAGGATCCGTCCCAGTGGGATCATTCCCGACATTCCCGATCCCGGCGGGATCCATCCCAACAGGATCCATCCCAACAGGATCCGTCCCAGTGGGATCATTCCCGACATTCCCAATCCCGGAGGGATCCATCCCAACAGGATCCATCCCAACAGGATCCGTCCCGATCCCGGCGGGATCCCTCCCAGTGGGATCATTCCCGACATTCCCGATCCTGGCTGGATCATTCCCGGTTGGATCATTCCCGGTTGGATCATTCCCAATATTCCCGATCCCAGTTGGATCCGTCCCAACAGGATCCGTCCCAACAGGATCCATCCCAGTGGGATCATTCCCGACATTCCCGATCCCGGCTGGATCATTCCCGGCTGGGTCATTCCCGGTTGGATCATTCCCAATATTCCCAATCCTCGTTGGATCCGTCCCAACAGGATCTATCCAAATCCCGGTGGGATCCATCCTGGAAGGATCCATCCCAGCATTCCCAATCCCGACAGGATCCATCCCGATCCCGGCTGGACCATTCCCGGCTGGATCCACCCCAGCATTCCCAATCCCAGCTGGATCCATCCAGATCCCAGTGGGATCATTCCCGGCATTCCCGATCCCAGCTCCATCCATCCCGATCTCGGCTGGGTCATTCCCAGCAGGATCCATCCCGACATTCCCGATCCCAGTTGGATCTATCCCAACAGGATCCATCCCGATCCCAGTGGGATCCATCCCGGAAGGACCAATCCCAGAATTCCCGATCCCGGATGGATCCATCCCAATCCCAGTGGGACCATTCCCGGCATTCCCGATCCCGGCTGGATCGTTCCCAGTTGGATCCATCCCAACATTCCCGATATTCCCAATCCTGGCTGGATCCACCTCAATCCCGGCTGGATCATTCCCGTCATTCCCGATCCCGGTTGGATCCATCCCAGTTTGATCCATCTCAGAATTCCCGATCCCAGCTGAACCATTCCCAACATTCCCGATCCCACCAGGATCCATCCTGACATTCCCAGTTCTGGTTGGATCCATCTCAGAATTCCTGATCCCAGCAGGATCCATCCCAATCCCAGCTGGATCATTCCCAGCTTGATCCATCCCAACATTCCCAATCCCACCAGGATCCATCCCAACATTCCCGATCCCGGCTGGATCCATCCTGTCAGGATCCATCCCGATCCTGTCTGGATCATTCCCGGTTGGATCCATCCCGGCATTCCCGATCCCAGTGGGATCCATCCCATAATTCCTGATCCCAGCTGGATCCATCCCGAACCCCGTTGGTTCATTCCCGACATTCCCAATCCCAGTGAGATCCATCCTGACAGGATCTATCCCGATCCCAGCTGGGTCATTCCCGGTTGGATCCATCACGGCATTCCTGATCCCACCAGGATCCATCCCAGCATTCCCCATCCCAGCTGGGTCATTCCGGGCTGGATCCATCTTGAATCCTGTTGGATCATTCCCAACATTCCCGATCCAGGTGTGACCATTCCTGACCGGATCCATCCCAGCATTCCTGATCCCGGCTGGATCCTTCCAGGCTGGATCCATCTTGAATCCCATTGGATCATTCCCAACATTCCCGATCCCGGTGCGACCATTCCTGACCGGATCCATCCCGGCATTCCCGATCCCGGCTGGATCCATCCCGATCCCGGTGCCACCGGAGCCGCGGATCATTCCCGGCATTCCCGATCCCGGTGCGACCATTCCTGACCGGATCCATCCCAGCATTCCCGATCCCAGCTGGGTCATTCCCGGCTGGATCCATCCTGAATCCCATTGGATCATTCCCGGCATTCCCGATCCCGGTGCGACCATTCCTGACCGGATCCATCCCAGCATTCCCGATCCCAGCTGGGTCATTCCCGGCTGGATCCATCCTGAATCCCATTGGATCATTCCCGGCATTCCCGATCCCGGTGCGACCATTCCTGACCGGATCCATCCCAGCATTCCCGATCCCAGCTGGGTCATTCCCGGCTGGATCCATCCTGAATCCCATTGGATCATTCCCGGCATTCCCGATCCCGGTGCGACCATTCCTGACCGGATCCATCCCAGCATTCCCGATCCCGGTGCCACCGGAGCTGCGACAGCTGGGGACAATGGGACAATGGGGGACAGCCGGGGACAATGGGGGACAATGGGGGACAATGGAAGACAATGGGGGACAATGGGGGACAATGGGCCGGCTCTCCCGGTTCCCGTTCCTGCCTCTTGGATGCCCCCAGACCCCCAAGTCTCTGCGTCCCCCCAAATTTCCCCCTCCCCCCACCCGGGGGCTCCTCCCGGTTTGGCCCCGCCCCTTTTTAACCCCCCGGTGCCCGGTGCTGCCCCCCGCCCTCCCCGGGGGCGGGACCCGGGGCCGGTCCCGCAGCGCCGCCGCCGCCGCCGCCTCCGCCGCTCCCGGCTGCCATTTTAAGGTGAACAAAGCGGCGGAGGAGGCGGCAGGTGAGCGGCTCCGCGGTACCGGCAGCCCCCGGTACCGGCACCGGCACCGGCAGCGCGGGGGGAGGGCGGTACCGCAACGGGAGGGAGCACCGAGCACCGGGGGTCTCCGCTCCCCGCTGCGCACGGGGGGGGTTCGTCCTTCCCCGCGGCACCGGGGGCCCCGCCGGGCTTCTCTCCGGTACCGCGGGCCGGACCGGGAGCGGCCATGGGATTCTACCCCACCGGCGCCCGGGTCCTCGTCGGTACCGGATTCCAGAGCGGTACCGGGGTCCCCAGCGGGTCCACACCGGTACCGGGGTCCCGCCGGTACCGGATTCCAGAGCGGTACCGGGGTCCCCAGCGGGTCCCCACCGGTACCGGGCTCTCCACCGGCACCCGGGTCCTCGTCGGTACCGGATTTCAAAGCGGTACCGGGGTCCCCAGCGGGTCCCCACCGGTACCGGGGTCCCCACCGACACCCAGATCCCTGCCGGTACCGGATTTCAAAGGGATACCGGGGTCCCCGGCGGGTCCCCACCGGTACCGGGGTCTCCACCGGCACCCAGGTCCTCGTCGGTACCGGATTCCAGAGCGGTACCGGGGTCCCCAGCGGGTCCGCACCGGTACCGGGCTCCCCGACACCACCGAAATCGCCTCCGTGCTCCCCCCGGTAGCGCTCCCGGTACCGGAGCCGTGCCCGGCCCCGCGGCTCCTCCCGTGTCCCCACGGCGGGCAGGGACCCCCGAGTCCCCGCCGCCACCGGCGACACCGCGCTCCGGTCCCCGCTGCGGCTCCCGGTGCCTCCCGGGGGTCCCCGGTGGGGTCGAACGGGGGGATCCGCCCGGTACCGGGAGATTTGGGATCGGTGGGATCGCGAACCGGGACCCTTGGGCACCCCCAAAACTCCTCCCCGCCTCTCCCGGGGGTCGCACCGAGCCCCGGTACCGCCGGAACGGGCGCCCGCTTTGGGTTTCCCGCAGGAATTCGCGTTTCCCGCAGGGATTTGGGGTTTTTCGGGGGGTTTTTTTGGGTTTTTTTGGTTTTTTTGGGGTCTCCGCGTGACCCGGGGGTGTCCCCACATTAATTTCACTGATTTTAAGCCCCCCCCCCCAAATTTTCCAGCCGCTCTCCTCATGGCTCTGCCTCACGTGGCCTCGGTAATTATAATTATTTTTAATTATTTTGATTTTTTTTTTTTTAATTGCGATTATTTTGATTTTTAATCCGGCCGGATCAGCTTAGGCCCCGCTTCCCATCGGGGAATTCCAGCAATCCCAATTAATTCCCTGCCGGCTCCGGGGTGTTGGGGACAGGGAGGTGACACCGAGAGCGCGGCGTGGCTGGGGTGGCACCGGCTGGTGACTCACCGTGCCTCAGTTTCCCCACGTCAACCCGCGGCCACTCCGTGCCTCAGTTTCCCCATAAAACTTCTGTGGCGTCTCCAAAGTTTTTGTGGAGTCTCCAAGGGGTTTTCTGGGGGTTCTCCAAGGTTTTTGTGAAGGGTCTCCAAGGTTTTTTTGGGGGGGTTTCTAAATTTGCTTGTGGGGTCTCCAAGGTTTTTTTTTTGGGGGGGTCTCCAAGATATTTTGGGGCAGGTTTTCCAAGTGTTTTGGTGGGGTCTCCAAAGCTTTTTTGGGGGAGGTTTCCAATATTTTTTGGAGGGGTTCTCCAAAGTTTCTTTGTGGGGTCTCCAAGTTTTATTTTTTTGTGGGTTCTCCATGGTTTTTTAAGTGGGATCTCTCAGGTTTTTCTGGGAGTCTCCAAGGTTTTTTTGTGGAGTCTCCAAGAGCTTTTTTTGGTGGGGTCTCCAAGGTTTTTTTGTGGGTTCTCCAAAGTTTTTTTGGGGGTGTCTCCAGCTTCTTTTGTGGGGGCCTCTCCAGGCTCTTTTGGGGAGGTTTCCCAGCTTGTTTTGGTGGGATCTGCAAAGTTTTCTTGGGGGTTCTCCAAGTTTTTTTTTTGTGGGGTCTCCAAGGTTTTTTTGTGGATTCTCCAAGATTTTTTGGTGGTTCTCCAAAGTTTTTTTGGGGGTGTCTCCAGATTTTTTGTTGGGCCTCTCCAGGCTCTTTTGAAGAGGTTTCCCAGCATTTTTTATTGGGATCCGCAACGTTTTCTTGCGGGTTCTCCAACTTTTTTTTTTTTTTGGGTCCTCCAAGGTCTTTTTTGGCGGGATCTCCAACACTTTTTGCACACTCCAACCCTGCGTGGCCACTCCGTGCCTCAGTTTCCCCGCACAAACCACCGCAACTCCCGCTCCCACTCCTCCTGGGTGGCGACGGTGACAAAGGGACCAAAGTCCTTCCTCCGCCACCTCCGCCGGTGGCGGAGCTCCCTCGATCCCTGTCCCCTGTCCCCCGCAGGGATGTTCACCAAGAAACCCTACGACAGCTCCTACGGGCCGCCCCCCGCCTCCTACGGGCCGCCCGCGGGCGACTACGGCTACGACTTCGCCGCCCGCTCGCCGCCGCCGGGCTCCTACTACATCGAGGACGTCCCTCAGCATTTCTACAAGTGGTCGTCGCCGCCGGGGCTGGTGCGGCTGCTGGAGGGCGCGGTCATGCTGCTGTGCATCGCCGTCTTCGCCTGCGTGGCCTCCACCTTGGCCTGGGATTACGGTTACGGTTACGGCTATGGCGGCGCGCTGGGCACCGGCCTGGGCGGCTTCTACGGCTCCGGTTATTACGGCGGCGGGGTGAACTACGGTTACGGTTACGGCGGTTACTACGGCGGCGTCGCCAACCCGCGGGCGGCCAACGGCTTCATGATCGCCATGGCCGTGCTTTGCTTCCTGGCCCAGCTGGGGCTTTTGGTGGCCAGCCTGAGCAAGGCCAGCGGTTCGCGGTCGCGGCGTTTCTACCTGGTGGTCATCGTGGCGTGCGCGGTGCTGGCCTTGCTGATGTTGGTGGCCAGCATCGTCTACGTGGTGGGGGTGAACCCGCAGGCGCAGATGAGCGGCGGTGGCTACTACTACAGCCCGCTGCTGGCCATGTGCAGCCAGGTGTACGCCGGCGGCACCGTGCTCAACCAGTACCTGTACCACTACTGCACCGTGGACCCGCAGGAGGTGGGAGCGCCCGGGGGTGG